ATTAAAAGATGCTCCATGCAAACTCCAACTCTTCCTTTCCTCAAAGCAAACCTAATGAGCTCCAGTCCTTTCCTTGGGCTTCACTTCTTTACCTCCTGCCTAACTGTTTACAGGCTAAAGCACTCACACCACTGGCAAACAAAGCTCCAGTCCAGGAGACACTACCCTTTTGCCATTATGAATACATCACTTAACAGGTTAAGTCTTCAGTATCAACGAGGACAAAAAAACTCACTGGGGACAAGGTTCTAGGAAGTAAGGTATTTTGAGTATTTAATAGATGACATTCAAGCCTGTACAATGCAACATCATTAAACTCTTTTGTAGGGATCTTTTTTGCCAATTTGATTTGAGGAACAGGCAGCTAACAGACAATGCCACTTGATTCAAAAGCATGCATGTGGCTGGGGGGAAGCTCCAAGCATTACCAAGTCAAAAGCACATACTCACTGATAAAAGCATACACTGGACCACAAGGCAAACCCCTACCATCTCTTCGGCAGAATTTAATCATTTTTCTCCTGTCACAACACATCTGTAATGTCTAATCTTGCTTGTGACCTTATTTAGAATTCATCTGCATATTCAGACAATGAGTATAAAAAATTTCAAGATGGTTACAACCTAAGGCAACTCCCACTGTTGTTTCCTTTCTTAAGTGAACAAGTCATCAGCCAAAGTTTTTCTACTGGGAGACATTCAGAAACAAGTCAAGTATCACAATGTTTATTGATAGATACAAGTATATAAAATCAGGGCATGAACATGTCTTGATAAATTAAGTAGACTTAATTTCAGTACTGTAAGAGGGACCAATTCAAATTTCTCACCATGTCATGTTTCACACCCACAAAAACCTCTTCCAAAGGGCATTAAACCATCTCTTCAGCCGATCAGCTTTTGTGCAAGTAAACTGTTCCTTTTAAAAAAAGACTTGTGCACTTGCCCAGGCTCAAGGATATTAAAACCTAGCACATAAAGCCCATTACTAGAGGTAGAAATACAGGCAAATATACTATTACGGCAACAACCATCGATTACAGTTAAGGATTCTCTGTAACAACCAAATGGATAATCAAATATCGCAACAACTCAAGTATTACACTGAGCAAAGTGCATTTCTACAGTATTCAGTGTTGCTATTCAGTTTTCTAACTTAAAAACAGCCTATGATAACTGGCAGCAAAGAAGACCCTTGCAACAGACTGCTTCTGCTCAAGAACTTATGATGTAATTATTGCATGCTGCTAATACACTGTTATCTAAACATTAAAGATACTCTAAAATATTTTTATTGTAGACTATTAAGACATACTACAAAAACCTTTTGCAGAGAATATCCTACTGACATACTTCTGCTTTAAATATTGTGAAACATTACAGCGGAATGAATTTTCGCAGTGGTTAGGTCAAATGCAGTTACATCATAGCAACAGTATGTTTGCACAATTTAAGGCTTTGGCTGGTTCTTTAGTCAGCTTCTTCTTCAGATTCTTCTTCTTCAGCAGTTTCCAGCCAGGTTAACCACTGGTTTACCTGTAGTTACACAAAATTGGTTTAAGGGAGCAGGAATTGTTTCCCCATTAGGTGCTTCTGCAGAACACTCATTTCCCCCCCCCCAAAAGGATTTTAAAAAACCCTTCAGCCATGCCTGCCCTACACATAAGCCTCCAGTAAATGAGAGAGCTTTCATCTTGCTTTCAACTCCTTCCTAGTGAAATACTTCATGAAGTTACTGGATATTTACAAGTCTTAAGACTTTGACAGTCTTATCAAACACTCCAATGCAGCAGGAATCACAAAAACCAAGTCTCTATTCCAGTGTTAGCAAATTTACCTGGAATAAAGCTTTGCCTTTCCCTGGAAACTCTTGAGTAATATCTTCTTTCCATGCCAAGAAGGCTTCTTCTTCAATGATCTCCATGTCATAGAAATGAACAAAGAAGCGCAGTAACATGCCTACGAAAGTAAACATGAACTTGGTTAGCTCTGTAAGGCTCTCAACAATTCACCGGACTATAAGAGATGTAGCGACAAGCCAATTCAGGTAAGACCTTGATGCACTTACCTTTTGGAAAATTATTGTTGTAGCAGTGCACCTGGAGTGCATACAAAGCACTCACTTGCAGATCAACATGGTCATGGAGGAACTTCTGCATCACCGGCTTGAAGGAAAGAAGCAGCTGTTTTTCCTGCTCAAGCTGCTCTTTAGATGGAGCAGATGAAGAATCCAATTCGTCACTAGGTGGGTTTACTTCACTAGAAATATACTGCAAGAAACTGGACAAAAAGAGGCAAAGCTAAGTTCTCTAAACTAAGAGACCAAGAACTTCACAATTCAAGTTCAGCTATCTATCACTACAAACACCCTCCTGCTTGCACCTGCAGTCAGGAGCATGATACAGAGATTTGTATTGTGGTCGACAGTGCACCACAGTAATTCTTGCTTTGTCCCTCTTACAGTTCTACATTTTAGAAAAAAAAAAAAAAGTCTAGACTGTTTCTTAAAGAAAACACTACAAACTGATGGCAAGTCTGGAGACTTGCTTTTTTTCCCTCAAATACAGKGAGATTTTACTAGAGAAGATGCACTCAGAGGAATCTGCATCCCCATGCACTGCATCTTAGATTTCTACAGAGGTACAAGTCAGATTTTATGGAGCCAGTGTCCTAGCGGCTGCTGAAGTAAACAAGTAACTAAAATAAATCAAAACAGCATCTCACCTGGTCATCAATATATTCACAAATCCCTTATCTACATGAAGCTTGGGTGAAATGTTATCTTTAATCCACTTATAGATGGCTTGAGGGGATGGATCCGATTTTATTTGCTTTAGCAGTTCCTTCTCCAGTTTCAGAAGCGGGAACAAGAAGCTCAGCCCCTTCCCTTCCAAGATCTCCAGCATGCGGTCCTTGTTCTGGTCAATTTCTGACAAAGAAATAACGACACCTGTAAATGCCTGTCCTCCTTAAGAGCTTTAAGTGATGGTTCATGGCTCCAGCCATCCCCTAGAAACAGCATTCCTACAGTAACAACAGCTGATTCCACCAAGATAACCCTGTATCTTATTTTACTCTGGCATAAACTAGAACAACATCTTGCTTACTCTAGGATCAGGTGACAGAAGAGCTCTGTGGCAACTCTTACCTGGTAACATTTTCTGCATGTTCACTTTGCTTTGTTGGAACAATTCTGTTAGCCATTCACGGTCTTGTAACTTAGCTAACTGCTGAAGACAGAGCAGGAAGAGAGGGAAATGGGTGCCACTTTCCAGTGGTTGAGCCAGTTCGGAAATGCTCACCAGGTCTGAAATAATGGCACGGGCTGCAAACTGTGCTAAGTAGGATTTCACCAATGGGATGTCCACCTCCAGTTTGGGGCACTGGTCCAATACATTCAGGAATGCCTAAAGAAACAGCACACACACAAGCTGAAATTCTCAAGTAATTTTATTCCTGTGTGACATAACTTAAAGTCATATGTACTGTATCTTTTCTGTAACTACTTGCTGATTATACTTTCATGTACTATTTTATAATAGGCTCATATACTATTTTTACATCCTCAGATCAACAGGACTTCAAACATATTTGCAGACTGCCTTTACAGTACTTATACCCCACRGAAAGCCAAGAAACAAGGACTACAAGATTAACAGACCACAATACCTGCATGAAGTTGTCACTGGTGGCTATTCCCTCCTGCTTGAGCAAGCTGATCAAAGTACTTGCTTTCTCTTTGTCCTCATCTGTTCTATCCAGGGATTGAAGGATTACTTTGCTCAGCATTTCAGGAATGAAGTGTTTCGGAGCTCTCATTTCTCTTACAGTATTGACAGCATCATTAGCATTTCCATTGTTCAGATACTCAGTCACAACAGCCTCCTGTAGAGGACAGAAGTACAGTTAAGCATGCTTTTTCGAAGAACACATGCAAGGATTTGAGATTCACTGTTGCACACTAACTTACAGTTTGTTTAAGTAGCTCTTCCTTAGAAGGAGGTGGTTTCTTGGTGGTCTTTGCAGGCTTCTCTTGTATAAGTGGCGGATTTGTTTTCAGACCAAGTTGAGGTGGCTGAAAAAGAGACCAGAATTTGCTTCTTTTGCACCACATCTACCTATGTTTATGTCAAGTTTAACAATACTAAACACATACATGTTTTCACATTCTTTTCCTTAGCCCTCTTTGGTGCAATCAAATACTTCCCTCTCCCCACATAAGAAATTAAGTTTTCCAAGCACGAACAGGTAAGTATAGCCAACAACATACAAGTTTTGGTTTTTTTGTTTTTTTTTTTTTTGGTATTTACCTGTCCCAAAGGTGGTGTCTGAGTGCGTGGTGGTTGAGCACTGGGAGGAATCATAGTTATCTGGGGCTGAAGCTTTGGCACTTGGTTTTTGTTCATTAGAAAAGACTGAGCAGGTCTCAGGCTAATCTGTAAAAAGTAAGTCAGGAACAATTCAAACTGTTTCAAGTATTCTGACCAACACACACAGCCATAGACTCGCTCTCCAACAGATGTCACTGACGCATGACTCCATTTCTACAATGTTAATACTTAAATACAGTTTAAGCCACATGTGTTCTGAAATTCCCCCCAAAGCAAGTTATTGGCATTTAGTTCAATTGGTATAAAGACGTGGAAATGTTCCTTTTAGATGCAGTATGTTAGAGACCCAAGAAGATAATCAGCATGTTTGCTGACGTATTTTACAGCCAAGATAAAACTACCAAATTGCTCAGAAATTGGGATACAAGTCTGGTTAACACTCAAAATCACAATGCAGTTTACTCTGCATTTGAAATTTTGCCTATTAGCCAGTTCTAAACAAAAGAAAACAGCAAAAAAAAATTAACCTGGTCCAGCACTTCAGGGTTTCTAAAGTTCAGGATTTTCTGAAGTTTTAGTAAAATGTATTGTTATCAATAGGATGCATGGGAACTGATGTCAGAGTAGTGTTCTTGGAAGTGTGTGGGAAGGAATCGACCCCCCAAAAAATTGCCCTCATATTTCAGTCTTGCTCATAGGACGCTGGATACCCTAAGGAAAGTGAGCGGGGTGAAAGAGGAAGGGACAAAGAAGGAGGAGAAGAAGGAGGAGGAGAAAGAGTTCCAGCATTAGTCCTCATAATAACGCGTCTTGCTATAATCATTGGGCAATATTTAGAACAGGCTGTAAGTAATGTAGGCATGTCATGTACCTCATCTGCATTAAGCTGTCCTTTCTTAGAAAACCGAGGTGGCATATCCYTCGACTGTCCTTGTTGCTGGGATAAGAGTCCCTGATTCTGGGTATGGTAGAGTTGGCTTTGCCCCTATTTCAGAAAGGGAGATATAGAGAAAGAAGTGCAGATGATGGAGTGGCGTACATCATATGGGAAGTAGTACCAAAGGGACCAGAGAAACAAAGATTCTATTTGCCAGGGAGAAAGAAGGAGCAGGGGTGGTGGGAGAGTAGCATCTATCCCTAAAAATAGGGCTGTCTTTTAAATAAAACACACCATTCTGACCCACCAAAGCCACATGCACCTTTTCTTGCAGTTAAAAAAAAAACAAAAAAAAAACCGAAAAGTGTACTTCTTGCATCTTTTGCACAATTTAAAAAGTAGTTTAGAATTTTTGTATCAGCTGAGCATCAGTTATCAGAATCAAATCTGAATAGGTCTTTCAACATAAGCAGACTACAATCCATAACATACGCATCTCAGGAAGAGCTTCTAAAAAAGCTGAAGTCACCATGGGAACATCTTCCTTACCTGACTTTTCAGAAAAGATTTGCCTAGGTCTCCAAACTGGGATTGAGCAGAAGGCATGAGGTGACCCCCATGGCCATTGAAGAGTTGGTTTGAACGATGGCGTCCCATGGTGGGTGAAAATCTATCCTGAATAACTCCTGGACCAGTACCAATTCCGCTACCTGGATCAGCAAGGAGACAGATGACAGTTTTAGCTCTTGTTCAGTATTACAGCAGAGCCACAGCCATCCCACCACTCCTGCAGTCACTGTACCTGGCATTTGTCCAAACATATCAGCAAGCCCTCCGAGTGGGTCCCTGTCAAGTTTCATCCTGGGTGGCATAAAGGGTCCCTCCAGAAAGAAGTCGCTTCTCATCCCTTGAGACATAGGAGCAGGAATAAAAACTCCCAGATCCTTTAAAACAGGAATTGTTTTTCATCAGTTTCAAGCAACAGTCTCAAGCAAGTCAAGTTTTTAGCCTTCAACTACAGAAGCCCATCAGATTTTAAACCTTAACCCAGCTGTTGAACTGTGCGAGGAGTACTCCCAAGTGCACAGCATAAAGCCAGGCTCTGGACTTCGCATGCAACACCTACTTTTACTGCATCTTGACGGATTTGATTGATAGTCTTTGGTCCATTGTCAAGAAAAGCTTTGCGAGGAACCCAGTTGTGTTCTCTCAACTCCACAGTATCCTTGGAACAGAACACTATTTTAGAAAAGGATTCAAGACAATTTAAGAAAAAAGCAGCAGGAAGCCACTTCATCATCGTACCTGCAGCAGGAAACGAATCCTTGCTGGCAATTCCTTACTTGACATCAAGGAGCGCATACGGGCAAAGTACTGATCCATTAAGGACTGGGAAAACAAAAGTTACAAGCTGGGGTAACTATCAGCACCTTGAGTGTTTTCACTCAAGACATCAAAGAACAAATAATACAACAGACTGCCCTTTCCTGCATCTCTATCTACTTGATGACAGAGTTTAAAGATCTAATGCGTCAAGACATCCTGAGTCACAGATAAGGAACACAGCCAAAACTCTCATTCATTTTAAGCTCACATTCGAAACTCCCACTTCTCCCATCGCTTAGTGGGGCTATGTATAGTTCCTCAGCACATCTTTTCAAGAAGCTTATAGAAAAAGAGCTGTTGGCTTCTCTAACTTCCTGTTGAACCTAATGACATCACGGGAAAAGTGTAAAACCTTTTCAAAGATTGGCTCCTCATACTACTGAGAGAATTTATGTAGGAGCCATAGTGAGCACTCTTTTCCCTGAAAAATCAGATCAGTTTTGTACTTATGAACACTGAATACTGAAGGTTCAGGCAAGCAAAAGTCTCAGCCACATAACTGAGTCAATGAGTGCATTGGGTAGGCACATACCTTGGCTTTTGCATGATCTAATCTAGGTCCCACTGTCCTCATTATCTGACAGAGGCACTCCAAATCCTCCCCCATATCTTTGAGTTGAACTCTCTTCTTCTTTTCCAAAAGCTGAAATTTTAAAGGTGAAATTTTGGATTCGAAACATATAACAAATGACAATTCTAAATAAGCAACAAACTTTGTGCACTGACACATGCATAAACATTGTTTTGCTCTGAAGGCAAATGAACTTACAAATTAAGTTTTAAGAATTGTCAATTGCTCAGTGTGCATACTTTGAAGCACAACTTCTGTCTAGGCCAAACTAATCTYCCCTTAGAGACAATTCCTATGGCTTTAAACAAAGCTGATTTTATGTCTTAATCATGCCAAAGGGTAACAGTAGGGGGTAGGTAATTGTCAGAAAACATTTTTGTGGCACTTCATGCTCCCAGACTCCCAAAACAGCATAAACATTTGCACTGTCTTTTTTATAGTCCTAAAGTTCCGTTTTGTTCCTAGCCCCCACCCGATCTGAATACTCACTGTTTTGATGCACTTATGAAGGATAGATTCATGAATAAGATCAAGCTTGCCAAGTTCTCCAATGAATTTGATGTTCCCCAGCATCTTGATCTTGGCAATGGCTCTCTGTTCCTCCTCCTCAGGGAGGAGGGGACCATCATGCTTATCATAGACTGGAAAACAAAAAAGCCTGCTTTACACAGCTGTGGGAAAAAGTGACAAACAGATTCTGTATTAAAGCGGTTGTAAAACTTACTATCAACATTTCTGGTTCGGTTTTCAAATTCATCTTGAAGTTTAGATATTAGGAGGCGTCTGAATGTCTAAGAAAAGCGAACAGAAAAAACAATTAAGCTAATCAAGGCAGCTACATATGCAAGCAAAATTTACCATTCCCGATTGAGATATACACTCACTGTGCTTTGCTTCTGTCCTGGATGACTCTCTGCTGATGGGCCATCAAAGTTGGGTGCATCTTCTGCCAGTCGCAGACATAGTTGAGCGTACAGCGAGCTATACTTGGGCTCTTCAAGGGCTTTGTCTACGATCTACAGAGATTCAGTTTGCATAAGGCAGCAGTAGGATGCAAATGTTACTAAGAAAGTGAGTCGCAAGACACAGAATGAATTACCTTCTCATCCAAAACATCCTATTTTCTGCTAAATCAAACATAGAAATAACGTAGTCCAACACCAGTCTTAATGCTGAAGCAAAAGACAACAGCTACACTGCATGCTACTGAAGAGATTCCATAATCCTTGGCCAGCAAAGCCGAAGTTTATCACCACAACACCYAAGTTAGTACCAACAATCTGATCTCAGATTAAAAAGTGACGTAATATCAGTGTCCCAACAGGTCACCAGCGGTAGGCTTTCCAAAACCAAGAGGCTTGCTCCTCAGGAAAACAAAAAGAGGCCAAGGAAATAAGACTACTAAGTAACATCTTAGATGAAAACAAAAACAATCACAGAATCCCCAATCACGTTTAGTGATCATGGAGACTTCTAAATGAGAAAGTTACAGCACTAAACCTACCTCCTCCCTAGTCTATCCTTTTTCACACAGAAAAGGCAGGGAAGTGGTGTTTGATAATCCAGATCTGTATCCCATTGAACGCAACCCAACCCCCTGATTTTTTAACGGCAGTTAAAAGAAATGCAGCCAGCTTACCAGCAGTATGACCCCTTTTAGGATGAGCTTAGATTCTACACCCACATTGAGGAGCTCAAGGCATAGCTTGTCAAACTTTTCAGGAGTAAGCTTATTTAGTATGCTAAAGAGAAAAACCAAAAACACAGAATACAGATATTTTAAGCATGCCACAAGTTTGCTTCACATTCAATACATCTTTACTTCTTAAGTCTATTAAAAATTGAAAAGTGCAATGTTCCAGGTAACTMTTTTTCCTTTAAATCTTCAGAATTTAAAGTATCATTGGAAACATTAATCTGCTTACAAGACTTACTTTCAATGTTTATTGCTACTGTTATATCAGTTTGGCTCCTGGATAAAGGACCCACCTCATCCTTTCCTCCAGCCCATTTATTAGGTACACACTGCTAATGAAAACACTAAGGAAAGAAGTAAGCAATTTTGTGAAGAACTTACCCTCTTACTTTCCTGAAGATTGCATCATGTCGTTCTTTGTCGTTTGCGGAGTCGTCATCTCGTCTAGTGCTTCGTGAAGGAATCCATTTCTGAGCGTTTTGCCCTGGGGTTTTCCCCAGGAACTCGCTGTAAAGTTTTGAAGAATATGGTGGTTAAAATAATAATAAAAAAAAAAGTTATTTAAAGAACTATCCTTTTTACTTTTCAGTGTTGCCTTACTCAGACCAACTACAAGAAAGTAATCAACAACAACAAAACCTGAAAAAATTCTCCATGCTTTTAAAGTTAAATACTTGAGCAAGCCCATGCACTTCCTATCGCCCATGATGCATGCTGTTAAGGGCACAGACTGGAAAACGTTTAAAGGCTTTTAACTCAGTAGGCACACCTAGCTACACTATTTTCAGTTCTATATTCACCAGCTAGCATGCTCTACCTTTGAAATCATGCAAGCTCAAAAGAGCAAGATGACATACCTGTTGCTGGCAGTCTTGGGATAGTGCTGAGGTGCACCCCTACCACCTCCTCCGCCTGAAGAAGCACTGTTGAAACAATCACGCAATCCTGGATGAGTTCAAACACTCAATGCCTTCAAACATGTCAGTTTTAGTATAAACAATATACTAATTTAAATTCTCCTCAAAGGAGATTTTCCACGGCTAACTGTGCATCGAACAAACAAAAGGCACTGGTACCTGAAACGAGAAGCACCCCCTTCTGCAATCGCACTCTCCACTTTGGCGGCTTGACAACAAAGAATCTTCAAAAGAATAAAATTAAATTGACGGGGTAGGGAAAAACAAAACCTAGAAAGACAAACCAAATATTCATATTATAGCTGTTTTACCATCACTCATAGTGTCTTACTTAAAAATTACAAATGTTTTTATGAGATTGAGAACCCTGCAACACTGAACTT